GCCACCGGGCTGGCCCTTAATCTGTGTTTTTTCCCTTTCCTTCTTTCTTTTTTTGGCTCACTTTCTTAACTTGGACTTGTCCTCTGTGAAATATGGACGTTAGTAGCTCACACACAGGGCTGCTGCAAGGACATGTAAAATCAGATGGTAAAGCATTGAGCCGGGGGTCTGGCGCAGGGGAGCCCACCATACAACTGTACATTGGGGCTGTTTTTATGGAGATGGATTTCTGCTTCATCCATTTCTGTTTTCAGATGGCATCAGGATAAAGTGAGTTGTAGACTGGCAATCAGCAGATTTGGATTTAGCCTCTATTCTGCCACTTACTGTTACATTAAAAAAACATTTTATTATAGTACAATCTATATCCAGAAAAGTGCAAATATCATAAGGATAGCACTTGATGAATTTTCTGATATGCCCATGTAACCAGCACCCAGGACCCCTTCTGGTCTCATCCCAGGATAACCACTAACCTGGCTTCTAAGAGCATCGATCATTTTTGCCTATTTTTATACGTCATACACATGGAATCACACAGTGAGTCTGTGCTCTTGTTTGCCTGGATTCTTTTACTCGACATTGTAGTTGTAAGATTCATCCAAGTTGTTGAGTGTTGCCATAGATTGTTCATTTTCATTGACATATAGTGTTGCTTGGATCTTAATTTATAAAGGTGGCTACGTGATGACATGGAGAGGTCAATGTCACTGGAAGGAAAGTTTAATACTGCTCACTGTATTAAACTAGAAACAAGAGAGAGCACACCATGTAGGGCCACACAGAACTGTATCACACGCAGGGACCAGGCAGCAGAGAGGGGGGACCTGGGACTATGCCTTTATGACAGCAGTGGTGAGGGAGTAAGTGTGGGAATGTCCTCTATTGGGCAGGAAGTGAAAACACGTATGTTAGAGTTTATGGCTGAAGGGTTTGTAGTATGAGTTTCCCATGCCCGCCAAAGCTGACTTGCAAGAGAACGAGATAAATAACTTTGGCCATTAGTTTGCCCCGTGATAAATGAACACCAGATAGACAAATATAGAATCTAAGAAAAGACAGAACAAGCATTCCATTGTGTGAATATAGCACAACTTATTTATCCATCATTGATGAGCGTTTGGGTAGTTTTGATTTTGGAGCTATTATAGTAGTAATATGGGTTGAATGTGTCCCCCGAAATTTCATGTGTTGGAAACTTAATCCCCACTGTAACCGTGCTGAGAGTGGGAGATCCTGTTCTGGTAACTGAAAGGTGGGGCCTTTAAGAGGTGATTAGATTGGGTGGATTATAACCTTGTGAACGGATGGATCAGTTCATGGAGTCATGGGTGTGGTTTTGATGGCTTTAAAAGGAGATTGAGAGAGAAGGTCAGCTCTTTCTTGCTCAGCCATTTTGCCATGTGACACCCTGAGTTGCTGTAGAGTCACCACCAAGAGAAAGGCCCTTAACAGATGTGTCACCTGGTCTTTGGATTTCCCAGCCTCCATTTTTATAAATAATCCAGTTTCAGGTATTGTGTTATAAACTACAAAAATGGACTAATACAGGTAGTTTCCAGTTTGGAGCTATTATGAATATTCTAGTATTGCTGCTATGGACATTCTAGCACTTGTCTATTGATTTATTTTTTGGAACACATGGATGTACTTCTGTGATTGTATACCTAGCAGTGAAACTGTTGTTCCACACAGTATTGATATGATCAGCTTTAGTGGATACTGCCAGTTTTTCACCGTAGATTGTGCCAATCCGATCACCAACAGCACGTGAGCATTCCCCTTACTGCACATGTTCTCTAACACTTGGTGTTTTCCTTCTTTTCAATTAGCCATTTAGCCATTGTACTTACTGTTTTAATTTTAATTTTACCAATAACTAATTAAATGAAGCACTTTTCAGGCCAGCTCATGGCTCACTTGGAAGAGTGTGGCACTGATAACACCAAGGCCACGGGTTCGGATCCCTACATAGGGATGGCCGGTTAGCTCACTTGGGAGAGCGTGGTGCTGACAACACCAAGTCAAGGGTTAAGATCCCCTTACTGGTCATCTTAAAAAAAAAAAAATAAATGAAGCACTTTTCATATGCTTTTTTGGGCATTTGAATATCTTCCCTTAAAAACTGTCCAAGTTCGACAACACCAAGTCAAGGGTTAAGATCCCCTTACTGGTCATCTTTAAAAAAAAAAAATAAAATAAATGAAGCACTTTTCATATGCTTTTTTGGGCATTTTAATATCTTCCCTTAAAAACTGTCCAAGTTCTTTTGCCCATTTTTCCATTGTGTTGTTTTGCCTTTTTCTTATTGATTTATAGGAATCTTTCATATATTCTGAATATGGGTCCTTTGTCAGATATGTGTTATAAACATCTTCTCCCATTTTGTGGGTTACCTTTCACCTTCTTAATAGTGTCTTTTGATAAACAGAATTCTTAATTTTAACATCATTCAATTATCATTATTCTCTTTATGTTTAGTTCTTTCATGTCCTGACTAAGAATCTTTGCAAGATCATGCAGATGTCCTCTTGTGTTTTTTTCTAAAAATCACTTATTAATCAATGAATTAGGCAACATACTCAATTTTTTATTCATTCAACAAACATTTCCCTGAGTTTTTGATAACCTGAGCCATGATTGGGAGGAGGCAAACTATTCAAGATATACAAAGATGACAAAAATAATGCCCTGGAACTTGCCACCAGAAAGAGGAGGATGGCTGCTTGAATAGCTGGGCTGGTCACTGATAATCACTGACACCTGCTCTCACTGTAGGAACAGCACTATGGTAACTCTTTTTAACTCTCACTCCTGTCCCCTGATCCCATGAGGTAGGTACCATCATCACTTCCCCGACTTTATGACGAGCAATCAGTAAAGAGAAGGGAGGAGGCAAACTATTCAAGATATACAAAGATGACAAAAATAATGCCCTGGAACTTGCCACCAGAAAGAGGAGGATGGCTGCTTGAATAGCTGGGCTGGTCACTGATAATCACTGACACCTGCTCTCACTGTAGGAGCAGCACTATGGTAACTCTTATTAACTCTCACTCCTGTCCCCTGATCCTATGAGGTAGGTACCATCATCACTTCCCCGACTTTATGACGAGCAATCAGTAAAGAGAGGTGAAATAATTTGGCCAAGGTCATATGGGGGTGGGTCCACCCCACAAGACTGCAGGCTGTA